AACATGCTATTGAAAAGTCACTTTTAACATCAGACCATTATGGAATTTCAGTAGAGAGAAGATGAAGGTTTAAGAAGGGAGATACTGGAGTGTATTGCTTACTTTCATTCAACACCCCCCCCCCCCCAGATAGGTTTAGGGGTGTTCAATCCAAGGGTCTCCTCTCAGCACGTGACGCTGAGTTTTCAAAATGTGACCTTTTAAAAGATATTCCAAGGCGTAGAGTACACCTAAATTTCTTACTTTCATTCAACACCCCCCCCCCCCCCCAGATATGTTTAGGGGTGTTCAATCCAAGGGTCTACTATCAGCAAGTGACGATGAGTTATCAAAATGTGAACTTTTAAAAGATATTCCAAGGCGTAGAATACACCTAAAGACAGCTGATATTGATTTTCACAACTTCGTGTACCAGTAAGTGTTTGATGTTTTGACATTCATAGCTGAGTGGGACTTCCCAGGATCTCTTCCAATGCTCTCGCTAAGCCTTCAATTGTTTCTTACGATCTGTGTCTCCGTGGCTTCATGTGAGCGGAGCTTTTCAAAACTAAGGCTTATCAAGAAATTTTTACGATCCACCATGGGACAGTAAATGATTTCTAATCTGGCTCTACTCTCAATTGAAAGTGATACGCAGTGAAGGATATTGATTAAGATCGAGTGATTTACAGGTTTGCAACTTTGAACAGCAAGAAATGAAAATTGTAAATAAATTAAATTTTATGTAAAAAATAAATATACTTAACGTTGTTATAGTTCTTAAATACATTTAGCTCACGACCTTCAATTAATTTATTTTGTTCTTGTCATTTTTATACTGTGGACTTATTTTTACAAGAAGATATCCATCGTGGAAGTGTGTGTGTGGGGGGGGGGTGACACCATGAGTTTAGCGCACCGGGAGATACCAACCCTCGCTACGCCCCTGAGTTAGCATATCAATGTTTGTTACTAAACGTTATACACTTGGGTTGTGGGTATTTTAACGCGCTGATTCCAAATATGAAGTCAGAATCTGACTAGCACATTGTCACAGAACGGTTGTTACGGAGGAGTGCTCCGGTCCTGACTTGTCACAGACTATGTTGACTTAGTAGTGGTCAGTACAGGACCGCTCCTCTCTGTGATTTATATGGTGGGTATCTAGGCGTTGAGACAGACAAAAGCACAACGTAGACTTGAACACAATCCAACAACACAAACTCAAGGTGTTCAATGATGAAATTGACTATATTTATTATAAAAAAGCACTATTTCTATAGTCTTCACTAACTGTCAGCTATCTATATGAATCTCTAAAGCTATGACTGTTCTAATGAATCCTTTCAACTATTCCCATGTCAACTAGACAACTGTCGTCTCCTGATCTCTCTCGACTGTTCTACTTCTACACTACTGCTAAACCTCTCCACAGCTGCTATACCTCTCAACTGCCGCTCTACCTCTCAACTGCCGCTCTACCTCTCAACTGCCGCTGTACCTCTCAACTGCCACTGTACCTCTCAACTGCCGTGTCTCCAAAAACTTCTCCCTTATATTTCCCCGTCGTTTGACTATAAACCCTACTAGCTAAACCATCCCACGGTCATTGAATGGCCACATCCTTAAAGGCAACATTCCCCGACCAGATTCTTTTACCCCCGGATGTCTATTCCATGTCCTTACCCAACTATTGGCAGCTATCACGTTGAGACTTTTACTATTACTGATAATTAATCTAACTCTATCCATGGTCTTCGTGAAATTCCATTTCCCCATTCAAACTGAAATCTCATTTATCCAAAACATTTCTGATACCCGTTCCCACACTGTCCACCAGGAGTCTCCCTTTCCCCCAAACTATAATGTCTTCCCTCTACTACCATAAACTCTGCCGATGGCAGGCTAACAATTCCCTAATCTATTGTACCTTTGTGCGGCCCCCACGCCCATGGCTCCCGTCTCCAGCATGGTCATTTGTGACACACATCTGGATTTTAAGATATGCATGCATTCAAGAAATATATAGAATGGCAGGGGTTGAGTAGGGCGACACGTGCCCTATAAAGCATATTACACGATAGGTAGAACTCAAAGCCCCAGAAGCATAATTAGCTATACAGTGGAACCTCTCATAACGAGCATAATTTGTTCCAGACTCTTACTCGTTAAGCGAAACACTCGTTAAACGAAACAACTTTCCCCATACAAATCAGTGTAAAATACGATATTGCGTTCCATGCTGAAAAAATACTCATTTTTCAAAATTTTTTATTAACATTTATTCAAATAAAATTACTTATGAATTGTTAAGGAGTGAAACAACTTGGAATACAATTTAGATTTCAAAAAAAAAAAAACGTAAATAAAAATATGAATTTATGATAAATAATTAATACTTTTTAACTAGAAAACTGTCTAAAGACATTTGTTTTTGCCGACGCTTCAAAATTTGACGAAAATGTGTCACAGCATTATCATTGAATACATTTGCAGCCACGTCCTTATTAGGGTGATGCTTCTCAATGTACGATGCAACAGTTTCCCATGCTTTCAGCATTTCTCTCATTGCGCTAGAAGATTGTTGCTCTGCTACTTCCTCCTCCATTAATGAGCTCTCCTCCATAATTTCTTGCTGTGAAACACGATGCAACTCCATAAGCTCTTCGGTGGTCAACTCTTGACTGTGCTCTTTCACAAGCTCTTCAATATTGTTGTTGTCCACCTCGAGTCCCATGATATTGGCCAATGACATAATCTCGTCAACTGTAGACTCCACAGGCACTGTTTTAAAATCACATTCAACAACACTCTCTGACCAGTTTTTTCCAAGCAGAAGTGAGGGGAAAAGGGACTTCCCCTTTCTGCGTAACTCGTTATGCGAAATATTGCTCGTTAAGGGAGCAACTTCTTCACATTTTTTGTGTGCTCGTTATGCGAAATACTCGTTATGAGAAGTGCTCGTTATGAGAGGTACCACTGTACTTCTAGCGAAAGGTTTCCTTCTTAATTTTAATCAGTGGCGCAGAATAACAACAACAAAAGTGAGGGGAGGGTAAGGAGTGGTCACTTTGACCTTACTATTGAGGGGCGGAATTTTCGGCCAAATGCAGAGTTTTTTCGTGGAAAGGGAGTGACAGATAGCTTGGCACGCCCTGGTCGTCGTTAGCCCTTTCTACTCCACTGTCTTTACTTAGTTCGAGATAAACGTGGCGGTTTCGGCAAAAAAAAAATAAAAAATCATACGTTATAAAAGTTATACATGTTTGTAAACCAAATGAAACAAATATCAAGTAATTTTTTTGCAGTTTTTGGGCTATGACTTTAAAGAAAGAGTATAATAAAATGTGAGTTTTACGGAACGGCGGAAACAAGAAGTGTCGATTATGTTATTCTTCTTCTATTTATTAAGGGTCCACCATCAATGTATTGATCATTCTGGCTCCTATGCATGTAGAAGGGTTTGCAATATTTCTGCGCCTGTCTGTGCTCAGGATATTTCACTGGTTGCACGGGCTGCTCTGCGGGAAGTAGGGTTTGGAAGGCCCGAGGCAATAGACACACGTGTCAAGTGTTGTCGCCTCAACTGTTCCTTGTGGAAGCACGTTCCAGTCCTTGGTTGTCTTTGGTAGGAATGAGCAGCTCCTGTACTGTTTCTTGCTGTTGTGAGCCAGAATGCCTGTCATGGCCTCGTTGCTGTCGGGGCGGAGGGAGGGGGAGAAGGGGGGCAAATTTCTGTTTAATGCTGGAGCTGTGGACTAGCAAATTATCTATCTTGTACATCATGGAGAGCCTGGATAGTCGTCGTCGTTCCTCCAATGTTGACCAGCCCTGTATTTCCAGCATGCCGCCAACACTAAGGGTGTTCCTGTAGCGGTTCAGAATAAAGTGCTGCCCGTTGCTGGACCGCCACCAACCTGTCGATGCTCTTCTGGGTGAATGGGTCCTAGACTGAAGATGCGTAATCTAAAGCGTCCGGACAAAGGTTTTATTGGCTCTTTCTTTCACACTGGAGTTGCCGATCTTCAGATTTCGCCTTAAGAACCCCAGGGTCTTGTTTGCCCGGTTGCATACATTGTTAATATGCTCGTCCTAGTTGACCTCTCTTTGAATGGTAACACCGAGGTACCTTACGGAGAAAACTGGCTCAAGTATATGGCCATGCAATTCGTAGTGGTGGTGTAGAGGAGTAACATTTCTAGAGACTGGCAGTGTCTTGCACTTGGCAGGATCAAATTCCATGTCCCATCTCATCTCCCACTCAGCTAACCGACTGAGATCTTGTTGTAGCTGGTCCTGGTCAGATCTCTTGGCCATAGTCCTATACAACGCCGTGTCATCAGCGAACAGTTTTACTTGGGATGTCAGATTCTCGGGTAGATCATTGATGTATGTTAGGAACAAACAGGGGCCTAGCACCGAGCCTTGGGGGACCCCTGACTTAACACTGACAAAGGAGGAGCTTGTACCGACCACCACTACTGCCTGACATAAAGGATTTAATAACTTTCAATCAAAGACGAGTTAAAACGCATTAAAAGGCAGAAATTAATTTTAAACTTCTTACAATTATGCAAAGTCGCAAAGAAAGGCGTGTAGATGAGCACTCTATGAAGCCAAAGGATTCGAATTGAATGAATAAATGAAGACGAAACTTTAAAAAAAAAGTTTTATTTTTAGTAATTTTTGAAAATATCTTCTGCACAGACTTAATTGCGTAACGCATTTTAAGAAATTTGAAATTATTTTCGACTTTTTAGTGTGTTTTAATTCCGTCCATCTACCCTAACCGGAAAAATAGGCAAATAGGAGATAACTGTCCCTCTCTTGACACTTTCACTTAAAGTTAAATTGATTGAAAGGACTGGATGCGCTTATGCAAAACAGATCCCAGAAGAAAACCCCCAAAACACACAAGTTTTCTACAGTGTTTTCTTCTTCCCTTGGCGCCCCTTAATGTTTGCTTTAAATTGTGCCGTAGATTCTAAAATTTTGTTTCTTACTTTCTAATAACACGATCTCGTATTTTAAGTTACAAGATGGCTTCTGTTATGTATGATGGATGAAAACAAGTTAAACTAGCAATCAGTGAGAAAGTGCTACATCTAATAACAATTTGTAATATTATATAACTTTTCGTTATTTGTGAGTATTTTTTATAGTTATTTTTTTGTTAATATTTAAACAAATTGAGCCACATGATTTTAAATCATGTAGGCATAATGTAAATGAGTGGCACTGGCATCATTGATGATTGTTTTTTGGGTTTTTTTTTGTGTGGGAAGCGTTATCCACACAGCTCTGTGAATAACGTTGGGCGTTATCATCAGACCGAATTCTGCGAATGATGCCGAGCGTTATTGTTAGACAGAAATGTTCCCATAATTACGCAAATTTCTAGAAATAATTAGGATCGCATTCCAAGCCGGGGTGGGGGCGTAGTTTTAAGTAGTGTAGGAGAGAGCGATCTTTAATCTTTATAAGAGTATGGCACAAACACATCTCAAAACCGAAGCTACCGGTACGCACAAGTTAAATTTAAAAAATGTAATAGGCCTAACTATAGCCTATATATTGGATATAGGACAATTAGTTGTGCCTACATCTGCTCTGTTAGGGGCCAACATAGGGTCTATTCGACCTATAGAGTGTTACTAATATATCCAGTCAAACCTCCTACTCCTAGACATAGCTAATTTTCTGGTATTTCATATTAAATGTTATACCAGTAAATAAATATGGTACCGGTATTCTTCATGTAGACTCCCTTTCACCCATTGTAGAGATGTTTTTAAATGATGTCAAAGCTTGATAGAATATCGTTTAGTTTTTTTAAAGCACTATGATAAATCATGTCGTCCAGAAATGTTCTGTCAGAAATAGTTGACATGCCGTGCAACAATGTTATGATGCAGAGAGGTGTCTGCATCAGGCGGCCATGTGAGAGACGGGGAGGGGCATGTATAGGCCCTACATCGATAATAACAGAATCTAATCCTGTTTAAGTTTAAGGCTAGTATTTTTTCCTGATCCTAGAGGGTGTCCCTAAGTCTACCCAGCTCTGGCCTTAGCTGGGAAAAGTAAAGGTGGCTGGTTATTGCGCTGGCCATACACTCAAATTTGTAAACGCTGCTTCAATTGCCCCAAGGGAACTTTACTTCCCAAAGACTCGCAATGCATCCTACGACCAGCAGGTTTCCAATTAATTTTAGTATGATTTTTTTGTATTTTTTTTTTACAAGAGCTAAAATTGTTGATGTCAATGATATTGATGTTTTAAGTACGGTACCGGTATGTTCATTTCATTGTCATCAATAAATGTTATTTCAACTATTTCTGGAGCGGCATATTGTGTCCCTACTTATTATGATACTTATTAGAAAATAAAACGTGACATATTTTTTTCAGCTAAACTTTAATACACAACTCTGTGATATAAAATATTTGAATAAGTAAGTTATTAATATTTATTTGTTTATTACAGAAAAAACAAATGGATGTTAAAGTCTATGAGTGGAATTATACAAAGAAAATTAAACAGTCAAAAGAGCTAAAAGTATATCACAATGTGCAGTTAGAACAGCTGTATCTGACTTAAACATGGTTTATGCGGCTCATCTGCATGTCCATGTTGTTAACAGTTTTTTGACGAAACTTGAATGAACATTCTAACAAAATAGATTGAAACTAGAATTTTGAATACTTACGTTGTTGGACAGAATGAAAAGTATAATAAAATTGTATAAATAAATAGTGTAACATTAGTAACAAAACTATATGAAAATAATAATAAAACTATGTGAAAAGAATAAGAAAGCTATATGAAGAATATAATTATTATATAACAATATGAAATAACCATTAAATATTTTTTTTTTTAAATTGAATTTACAAAAAGTAGATTCCCCAACAGGGAATCGAACCCTTGTCTTCGGGGTGACAGGCGGAGATACTGACCACTACACTACCGAGGAGATACATACCAGTGAACTTTGTATTTTAAATTCATAATTTAATTTATCACATTCTGCGAATAATGTCGAGCGTTATCGGCAGACCGAATTCTGCGAATAACGGCCAGCGTTATCCGCACAGCTCTGTGAATAATCACTTCGTTTTTTTGTTATCATCGTCATCGACGAATATTAAATTGTAAGCCGATTGAGCATAATCGCCTAATTTAACTAATTAAATTAACTGATTAAGTTTAGTAAGTTTAAAATTAATAAAACTAAAACTCTAAGTGGCTAAAATGCAGTTAGTGGCAGGGCTGGCAATGGCTTCCATGTATTTTTTTTTTTTGGTATCATAATTTAGTATTAGTAAACTGTAAAGGAAAGGCATAGGACATGACATGGAGGTTCCCCTGGTTAACAAGAGACTTCAAAGTTTAGCTCTGTATTTATTTGAAAGTGGTGTTTTTGGATTAGCAGTATGGTCAGCGATGTGTTCCACAGTGTATGGGTCTTGGAGGCTCCCCCATGTTGCCCATGACAACTACGCAGACTACAGTCTACAGACTACAGCACTGTATTCAAAAGATGCAGATATTTATGTTTGTGTTCACTTAAACTTAAAGATTAAAGTTAATGCAAGTTTTTGTTTCCTTATTTTATATTTTTCAAATAGTTTGAGAGGTTCTGGGAAGGGGTTTCTCCTCCCCAGAGGATTTTTTGTTTCTTATTTTGGTATTTGAAGTGGGGGGAGGGGTCTTTTGACTGATTTGAATGCTTTTGTTTTGAATAGTTGAAAATCAGTGTAATAACTTGTTAAAAATTCAGTAACAAATGGGATACTACTTAAATTGAATTAGAAATGGATGTCTTTGCAATACTTGGCAATAGCTTAGGAAATATTTGATAACTTGTGTTTCAGAATGAATTTAGAAGGCATTTAAACTGGAATATTTTCATTTGAGGTTGAAAAACCCGGTAGTATTCATATTATAAATTATCAATATTTTCCAAGCGCAAAATCTCAGCGTTTCATATATAAGAGTTTGCCATGTGACTGTGGAAAACGATTTTCTGGGGACTGGAGACTTCCCTCCCCAGAAATTATTTTGTTTCTATTTTTGTATTAAAATTGGGGAGTGGGAGTCGAGAGCCGGGAAATTATGTTGAAATGACTTGAAATGTCCCGTTAAATTATGACATTATATTATTGTATAGCATACAAGTACTTTTTTTTTCAACCAATAAAAAAAATAGCACTTTTAACCATGCACTCTTCTTTTTTCTGGTGTTGGTATCAGCATGGTCCAAACCCATGGGGAAAAGACATTGGCACCAATGCCAGACAATATGAAAGCTTTGTATTCTGAAAGACTGCCTATCAGTCCAGCCAAATTTGATGACTTACAGGTTTTAAAACGATTCTTTTCTCTGGAGTCACAAAATTTCTTTGATGAGCTGCCCACTGCTTAGACCGGGCAAACCGCTGACAGTGATTAAGAAGCTAAACTGTGCAACACATACACAAATAGAGATGGCAGATGTTATCTTTTTGTAATATTTCAGTCTGTTAAAAAAACTAAAATAAAAGCAAACCAAAAAACCACCAACTAAACAATTTTTGTTTTTTTTATATAAAAAATACACGTCATATAGTAAAATGGAAAAAGCAGTGATGTCATTTTTGTCATTGCTTTAAACAAAAAAAATATTGTCATTCTACTATTTTTACAAATATTTTTGTTTAAATCTGGTATTGATTAGATATGGCTATTCTTGCTCTTGACGAAAATTTAGACATCTTGACATTTTTATACTTGCATGAGGAGACTTCATTTCAGTTTTTCTCAAAAGTGTCAAAACTTGACATCACTGGTTTTTCCTTGAGCCCTTGTAAATCACTAATCGTCATATAGTAACTTCAAACAGTAGTTACTCTTCTTCTTCTATATCTTAAGGGCCCACGATCAATTTATTGATCATTTTGGCTCCTATGCATGTAGATGGGATTTGCAATGTTTCTGTTACTGGTGTTGATGAGGAAATCATGCACTAGGGGTTTGAAGGCTTGAGGCAATAGACACAAATGTGTCTAGTGACACAAATGTGTCTAGTGTTGTCGCCTCAACCGTTCCTTTTGAAAGATTGTTCCAGTCCCTGATTGTCTTGGGCAGGAATGAGCAGCTCCTATACTGCAATGCAATGTCTGCCATTTGTAGTTTTGATTCACTGATAGTTTGAGAAAAAGCATAATGCCTGTGTAATTTCAATTTAGGCACATATATTTTTTTAAATTCAGAAATTAAGAAATGATTATTATTTTGTTTCTAGTGACTAGGGAAACCCTGAAATATTTCTTTTCTTGAAATTTAATAAAAGATAGGACTAACTAAATTTCAGCCCAATCATATTTACTTCTTCTACTCTTCTCTAATGTTAAGATTATATTTTAATTATTTCTTCTGTTTTCAGGTGTGTTTACATTTTAATTGAAAATGACGACTGCTGCAAGACCAACTTGGGACACAGCAAAAGGAGGTAGAGGAAAGGGTGAAGGTGATCTTAGTGCCCTCTCAAAACAGTACTCCAGTCGAGATTTGCCATCTCATACTAAATCAAAATATAGGTGTGTGAGCTGTCGCAAAACTATAATAAATGTAATTCATTAAATGTTTTTTCTTACCCTAAGCATGTGTCTAGTACAAAATTGCAACTCTGTGCTACTGCGGCTTGCATGACCTGGCGCCGTCCTATCTCAAAGCGCTCATGACGCCTTATGTACCCACTAGACAACTCGGCTCATCCGATTGTGGCAAACTCTCGATACCACGTGTTCGCCTTGAGACATATGGAAGGCGCACGGTTGCATTTGCTGGCCCAAAAATTTGAAACACACTTCCTGTCGTTTTCAGAAACAGCCAGACACTGGAGTCTTTCAAAACCAATTTGAAAACATATCTATTTACCTGTTGGGGTGATGTTGTCTCCCATCTTTTCCAGCTAGCTATTATCTCCTAGATGTATAGTGGCCTGTGTTTTTTATGGTTGCAAGGGATGAAAGACTTAGAATGGGCATTCTCATATGTAGTTTTTGTAATGTTGTGTTTTGTATTTCAATGTGGTGAAATATAGATTTTTTCATTTCTCTTTTAATATGGATGAATTTATACCACTCTTCGAGCCTTTGGGGATGAAGCGTAATTTTCAAATAAGCTTTATTATTATTATTATTATTAGTTTGGGGTTGCTTTACATTTTTTACTGTGATTAAAAAAATAAAGATTGTGCCATGCTATGGTACCACTAAAGCTTAAATATATTGTTATAATTTATATAGATTAATTAAATAATAATAATAGATGTATGGATATATTTAATAGGCAAGAAGGACAAGGCACGACAGAAGAGCTAAGAAGTAGAGATTTCCGCCGTGAGTTGGAAGAGAGAGAAAGATCTTCAAGAGAAAAGCGCGACAGAGGTCGAGGTATGATACTTTTTTTTTTTCAGCCATGATAATAATAGAACCTTTATAAACAGTATATTACAGTGTATAATGCAATTCAGGTACAATGCAAACCGGTACATTTTTGTTGATAAAAGCCCCAAAATGCCATGTGTTAATCTTGTTCATTTTGGAATGGAGTAAACATGCAAGAAAGAATGGGCAGCGAAGGGGAGAGCATTCATACATTTTTCTTCTTGCTCTTTGGGGATATAAAGTGTTATTGAAAAAATTGCTTCTACAATAGGGTATAGCTATAGCTAATTTTCTGAAAGTTAAAATTTTTCTGCTCCTATCCCCTAATCCTGTTTCAATTGATCAAAAATGATCTGTGCAGAACTTCAGGTCAATCGGTCAAGAGCTAGGCGCCCCGTAAATTCCTTTAAGTTGGAACATAGTGTACACAAAAATTAATTCCACTAAAAAGAGGTATACTCTTCAAAAATTATCTTAGACTCTGGCAGTGGTAGCAGTAGTAGCAGCAGCAAGAGACCACGCATAGAGCAGATTCCAGCTGCCAACCTTGATGCTGATGATCCGATCGATGAAGAGGTGAGCAAAACATTTTTTATAGACTTCCTTTCTACTTGCATTTCCATCTTGTGGATGGAGAGTTATTTTTTGTTTTCACACGTGACATTTTGATTGGTTGATCATTTTCTCATGAAGTGGTCACCTGAAAGGTATTGATAGTCTCATTGCAATGAGTTGTGTCAATGTGGTGTCTACTCCTGGGTTAGCAGTGGCAGATTGAGATTGCGGTTGAGTTAACGAGTGCATGGGTGAACTCAGACCTTCTTTTTTCTTTCTTTTTTTATTCCGAGGTACAGCGTTAGTGACTTAAACAGGGATTTTGTAAGCATTGAGTGTTTAAAAAAATTGAATAATTCTCCTTTTGTCGATAATTTAGTTTTAATAGAAAATAAAAAAATAACATTTAAAAAAAAAGAAAGGACTTTTTATTTTCTGTGCAGAAAATATTTTCAAAAATTAATAAATGAAATATATTTAAGTCTCTTCTGTGTTCAATTTTAATTCTTTGGCTACACAGAATGCTCATCTACTCTTCTGTATAGTCTTTCTTTGCGTAGTGCTATTTAAAAATTGTAGATTTTAAAAACTTTGTAGTGCGTTTTAACTCTTCTTTGATAGAATGTCTTTTTTAAAAACTTTTTATAAATATTTTATTAAAAATATTTTTTAATGAAGATCACCATTATTTTGATCTCAAACTTGTTACTTGAAGTATGTAATTTTAAATATGTCCAGGGGTAAAATAAAATGAAAACCATTTCAAAAGCATGTGTCAAATATTTCATCTCGTCTATTATATTATGATGATGGCAAATATTTGATGAATATTCCGATGGCAATTCTTCAATGGTCACAGCACGGACAAGTGTGATTCAAAGACACTAAAAGGTTCATTGTACATTATGGGTTTATTTTCACAGAACTAATACATCTCATTGGGAAATGGTGTCGGTGGGCCGTCGAGCTCGAGCTCATAATGCCCTGGCATCCCCAACATTGGCCACATTCTTATCTTCTACTAAATGATAAAAAAATTAATAAAACAAGGTGAAAAAGAATGAATGAAATGTTATAAAGAAAAGAAACAATATGATTCTAAGTATGGCGAACTTGAAGAGCATTCAAACCTGTAAAACTAATTTTCACTTTTCTTTTTTACTAAAAAAAATTTTTATCGCAAACTAGCGACAGAAAAAATTAATATGCATTGTATTATATTATGTAGTCCTATTTACTTATTTTTACATTTTATAAAAACATTTTCAACAATTTAGGACTGGTTCATGGAGAGTAAATAGTTTTCCTGGCTTTGTATCCTTGCATTTCCATCTAGTACAATCATTTTTCATATTTTGAGGAAATAATCAACACAAAAATCAACATAGTGTGAAACAAGGAATGCTAAAAAACAACATTAAAACATGGACACAAACAAAATGTTACCTCATTATTGCATGCATGTTCCTTGTAAATGAATGTTAGCTGCAGTCTGTTCAGATTGATGAGACTGTATGGAGGATTTGGGCATCTTTGGCCTATGAAGGTTTTAATATTTTTGAAAAATGCATTATCAATTAAGAATATTTTTGGTTATGTAAGCCTGCGTATATTATAATTATAAGCATGTAATCCATCCTTTATATTTTTAATGCCTTTCAATATTAATGGCAAATTTTACTACACACCTTTTTTACTGTTTTGTTTGCTAGTTATATTATATATGATTTTTATCTTCTATTAGGAAGATGAAGAAGACTCTGATGATGAAGATGACACTGCTGAATTACTGGCAGAACTACAGAGGATTAAAAAAGAAAGGGTAGAGGAAAAAGCTAAAATGGTAACTTAAACATTGATTTTAATAAATTCTTGTGTATCAAATATCCATAGTTAATGCATGGGATTTTGTTAATTTAAAAAATTGATCACAGTTATTTCATTGTTTTAAATACCATGAATGTTGTTTTTCATCTTCATTTCGATATTGAGATCTTTCCCTATTCAAAAACTTCATTTTCTTTTCATCAAGTTTATGGGTAAAATTAGTTGTAATTGGTTAGCTTATTTTTCTTTTGTTTTACTTAGCCATTCCCCACTAAAAAATATGACTTGGAAATGCCAATTATAACTGTTGATTGCATAAAGATCACCTATATTATCTCTACATTATAGTTTACTCTGTAGACTATCTATATGAACTTAACAGGCATATCTTGCAAACTGACTTGGCCTAAAGGTTTACTGGTTGAATATATTCTTCTAAAACAAATGTCTCTCCGCTCAGCCTCAAGCTGGTATCAGCTATCTGAGACCTTGTACAATAAATTCTATATACACCAACTATCAAGAGATTCAAAGTTGTGCTCCAGCATGAGCTCATGTTTCCAAGAGCAAACAAGATCGTTTACAATCACAGTACAAAATACCTCAGTGGATATAATACCTTGACACTAACCAAATAATATTAATTTCAATGTTTGCTCTCTGATCACTTGTATAGATGATTTTTTAAAAATTATTGTAGGAGGCAGAGAGGAAAGCAGAAGAGGAAAGAATCAGGACAGAAAATATACTCATGGGGAACCCTTTAATGCAGCCAGAAAAACAGTCATCCACAGATTTTAAAGTCAAACGAAGGTGAGATATGACTGTGTGTTTATATCTTAAATAGTTTCTTCTATAATTTTTTAAATAAGTCAAAGTAAGCTATAAATTAAAATAAAATATATTCCATTAAAAAATATAGTGCTGCTTTTCTTTATCCCAAGATTAATGCAATTCTTTTATTTAAAAAGTGAATGGCCTTCAACTGAAAACATGTTGTTGTTAAGTCTGAAAATATTTAAAACAATATTATTTTATAAATCTTTGAAATCGTCACAATGATCACTTGTACTGGTAAAGGACATTTAGTATGCCAAGACAGGCACTAACTGACAAACATATTCTATTTGGGGCTTGAGCTTGCGTCCTTAAAACCCTGGCTAGAGTATTGGCAACCAGCTCCATCTGCTGGGCTGTGTCATATAACATTGTCTGGACGTAGGACTCTCCCACCTCCACCCTAACAACTGGGCATGAAGTCAAGAGAAGTGCTACTGTTTCCAGGTCCAGGATTCAGTACTGGCAGGTCTTGCCCTTGTTGTATAGCCTGTTGAAGTATGAGTTAGTGGGGAAGAGTTCAGTTGGAATTTGGGTCACCACCAGACACTGCAGCATGTTAGCGTATATGTCTCTGAACTTCGTGCTGTCAGCCCATTGACCATATCACTTTTTCCTTCAGTGGTCCGCCAGACAATTTTTGGACACCCATATAAGTGACTGGTGTTTCTGGTTGGGACTGGTAGGCCCTGATTTTGCCATTGTGTCTGCTTTTTTATTGCCCTTTTTGTTTATGTGCACCATTACCCATTACCTTGCCTCCGATTTTTATCGATCATGCCCATGACATCCAAGATAGCATCAACCTAGTTGGTTTTACATACTTCCTTATTCAAGGTCTCATGAGCTGATTTTGAATCAGAGAAAATGACCAGGTCTAGTCCCACAAGCTCCCACCTCTGCAGTGTACTGTGCATACTTTCCAGCGCCCTGTGAACAGCATGTTACTCCTCATCAAAATTTGACGCCCTAATCCCACAGGGCCCTGAAAGTTGCTTATTATGTGGCCCTCTGATTGGGTGTAGGATGAACGCACCGTACCACACATTTCTTTCTCTCAAGTTGATGCATAAAAGAGGACATTTTTAGTCTATTTCACACGTCCTAGTTATTCTGCATTTGGAAGCAGGGTTCCTTTTCATTAAGACTTCTGTACCGTTCCGCGGTAGTTAAAATCACATGTCCCTTCTGAATTCTAGCAGTTTCATGTTGGCTAAGATTTCCACGACAGCAGTGGGTGTGATCTTGAATGCACCACGGATGAATCTCAGAGCCTGATTCTGGATTTGGCCTATTTTTTCCTTGCCTAGTGCACCCAGTAGCACCTGCAGTCGGCCTGAGCCTCGTCACTGATCTGCAAGGGAGGAGGGGCTTCAAAATACTTTGCTTAGACAATTATTATTTGTGCCAACCATATAAAGAATAATTATATCAACTTAAACCACTCCTGGAGAGAGATGCAATAGCAACTCTCACCTTTGTCTTGGGAGTCAGACGTATGCGTGAGATCCTGTTAGCTTCATTGGATGGTAAGTTGCACCCAGTTACTAGTCTCCCAGCAGCCTCGTAGAGGACTGGATCTCATGTTGCAGAGTGGCCTATAAATCACCATTATCACTGAGCTAATTAATGCTTTTTTTTTTGTCCACACTACCAGGTGGGATGATGATGTTGTTTTCAAGAATTGTGCCAAGGGAGATGAATCCAGGACATCAAGGGGTTTTATTAATGATACACTTCGCTCAGAGTTCCATAAAAAATTCATGGAAAAATATGTCAAATAATTATCACTATCTTAGCATCATCTCATGAAATATCTAATGGATTTGAATTTGAGTGTTTTACAATTATGTTAATTTTTATTATTTTAATGTGCAACAATTTGATTTGCTAGAACTAGACTAGGGGGAATTGTAAATGTTCACCAATGAACTGCCATTCAATGTTATGGGAATGAAGGACTCCAATATTGCTACAAGCCTCACCCATGTAGGTAATCACACCAAAGTTTATACATAGAAAAAGAGCTGATCATATGTCAGTTATCTGGTATTTCTTTTGTCATGATTGTATGCATGTTGTTTTTTTTTGTTTTTTTTATGGTTTAAAAAGTATATAATAAATATCTTTAATTCATGAAAAAGGAAGTTGATTCTTGTTTTTATTGGAAAGTAAACTTTTAAAATTTTTTAAACAAAACAAGGCACTACATTTCATAGCTGATACATTACTGATTTTAATGTTATTTGTTTGGGGTCAAAATACAGTTTATTAATTATTTTATTATTAGTATTAATTTCATAACAAACAAATAAACTGTACAAAATGTGTAATTAATTAAAATATTTTTTAAAATTCCAGTTAGTTGATAAAACTGTTTTATATGGACTAAACAAAATTATCAGAACATTTGACTCTTAAGAAAAAAATTTTTAACAGTGAAAATTTAAAAAAAGATATACCGTATTTATTGGCACATATCGCACACTTTTTCTCCCCGAAAATAGAGGGCAAATCATGTGTGCGTGTTATTTTCCTGAAATTTCCTTCTTAAATTGAGGTGCGTGTTATACACGGGGGCGTGTTATACGTCAATAAATACGGTAATTAATTTTATAAAATAAATATCTTCAAGTGACTATTTTAAATAGGCTAATGATCACATATTCTATGAGAAGACATATTAAAATTATAAATTGTATATAAAAAAATTGAATGACATTGAGCTATAAATTCACTGGCTTTAGAAGCAGTTTCCAGTCAACAATTGTGTACATATAATCATAAGAAAGTAACTTTGCTTTGATTTTAAGTCATGTAAAAATTTGATGAATTCATTTCAAATCAATTTTTAAACCAAAATTTTAAAATAATTATCAGACAGTTTTAAAAAAAAAAGGATTTAAAATAAATTGCTGACAATGCAAAACAACATGCTTCTAAGTTTTGATTAAAATTCAGTAACTCTGCC